TTAAAAAAAAAATGTGCATCGATATTTGTGTCATTTGTGCGCGCATATAACCCTAGCAATATGGGTGTCCTTCCTAGCTAAAGTTGACGTTCCGGATGCGTCGGCGCAGTCTGTTTCGTCATCCGGGGTCGTCCGGACGAGTTCGCCGACGGGCGAGTCAATTCAAGTCAAAGTCGTGTGTGATGCAGTGAGTGCGTGAAGTGCGTCGTTAGCGAGTAATCGAGTCACAAAGGGTTCACCTAAGGCTGTTTGATCCTATAGGAACTCATTTTCGGGCCCTCTGCATGTTGATCCTTAGCCCTTGCAACTAGAAGTTGAGTGCTTGGAAACACTCATGCGAGTTCTTCACAAAAATGAGTCAAGAAGTGGCTTGAAGTTCTACGGGAGGTGGGCTCCATTACTAGTCCGCTAGAATGGTCAACCAGGAACTCCTAAGACTAGATTATGAGTTCTGGGAGTAGGAGACTAAGACCTCACAAAAATGAGGTCAACAGTGTGTCATAACAAATAGATATTTAAAAACTACACTGAGAGTGATCTAAAAATGTGTATTTGAAATATAACAATACTTATTGTTGGCAATGGTAATGTAGATATCAGGTTACCTATTGGAACAGTCTGGAAGCTCAAAAAAAAAAAAAAAAAAAGATCTCGATGAGCCAACTTACAATGTCAAGGTATGTGACTATTTTCACAGGTGATTAGTGAATATGACCAGAGAGGCAATGGTGATGGCTCGGGACAACATTGAAGGTACTCTTTAAATGATCAATGAGAAGTCCAAATCCATTAATGTAGATAGAATAAAGAGTGATGCAGATCTTTAACATCGTAGACTTGATCTTATTAGCAAAAAATGTATGAAGTCGTTACTTTCTAAAAACTAGCATCATGATTTAAAGATTTTATATACGGAAAAGAAATAACGTGCATAGTCATATATCTTTTGTACATGTCCACAACATATATCACAACATGCAATTGTATAAAACATGTAAAATAAAACACATGTAATATAATGAATCATGACTGTTCTATAAAACATGTCATACATAAATATGTCATTCATTTATGTATAATCATAAGCATATTCACAAGAATCATCAGCCTAATCATGCAAATGTCACTTGTAATTTTATAGCCCTCAACAATTTTCATATCATTGGAAAGTCACCCAACCTGAAAGCTACATTATCTATTGATAAAGGCGGACCCCTCAACATAGCAGTTATAAAAGCCTCTAGTACTAATGGTTCCCCACATTTCGTCCCCATCTAATCCCAACAATTCTCGGAGCTTCGTATTTTGTCAAAATATTGACTCGGGAATCCCATTTTCTCTATTATCCGTATTTATAAGCATTCATGTAATAACCAACTTATAACATCACTTGTGTTTTTTTTTTAAATCATAACTTCTGTAACAAGTATTCATCATAGGTATTTTACATATCATATGCAATAATCATAGTAAATGAATGCATGCAAGCAACGATATAAAAACATGTTCATCAGCTCATAACATAATAACATCATGTGTATTGTAAGTGACAAATAAAGTTCGCATTCATACAATATATGCATGTATACATAAATAATATGCAAAAAATTTCACATGTAAGTGTCAAACACATAATAAGATGGAAACATAAAGAGAGTTATTCATAAGTTAGCACAAGATTATTTCACATGAACTAACAGAGCAATTCTACAAAAAATTTCTATAAGCTCACCACCTAATGTAAACAACTTGAAATTCACAATCTCTTAAAAATTTATGAAATTCATAATTCAAATCTTAATTTAATCCCAAATATGATTGTCTTGATTTAACTTACAACGAATGGGATTTTCGACATAAATATGTCTCCTGAACTCTTACCTGCTTCATTCCCTCTTCTTCCTTTCCCCAACATTTCCCAAACTCGTGAAATAGACTTATTGGAGATCGTAGCTATCAGCTCGCCAATCACATGATTGTTTCAGCAAAACTATAGCGATATGAAAAACATGGAATACGTGAACTTATAGCAAATGTCAAAATGAAAACGTATGATAGGAATGTATAGATTATCATAAAAGAGAGTTTTCTCCCTAAAACTTCAAATAGTGGATTTTAACTCTCAGCAGAATGCCTGCTTGCGCTCGATCCCGCTAAGCTACATTATGGGATCACTAAACTCTCTAGAGCCGCGAAACCAAAGTACAGGGAGAGGGAATGGGAAGAATGTGGCATTTATCTAATGTCCACTTAATTCCCTAGCCATTCAATCCACATAACGTTACATGTGCTGCTATGTATGAAGAAAGGTTTGGCTGCTACAGTGATGAAGCAGGATTAGGGGGTTACTTAATGAAAATTAAACTTATAACTTAATTATTTTATATCTTCTCATTTGTTAAAAATTCATACTTGGTGCTATATATCAAATTGATCGATTTGACGTATAATATTTTATAACATTGATTCGATCGAATCCAGAGAGAGACAAACTTTAGGGTATACTTTAAAATTGCTAAAATTTTATCTATTTTAACAAAATTGGCAAAACTAGGTGTTACAGCTCTCACCTCATAAAAAATTTGTCCTTAAAATTTTTAAATTTACTTGAATAAAAAAGGATATTTCAATTGAATTTCTTGTTTTTTTTTCTCATGTAGCTTCTTTTCCAGGCATGCTCTTTCATTTTATTTTAACAAATGGGATTTGTCTATTCCATTATACACAAATTTATCCTCAAAAAGTTGCGTGAGTACACTCAAAATTTTGCATTTGAAAGTACGCATTTATCAATTTCATTTTCTTCTTCGTGCACAGGTACAATAGTGTCCCAGCTGATATCTTAAGAGAGTATATCTTGATTGACTTAATTCATTATATTTCATTTCTTTTTTTATGTTATTCATTAATCATTGAACAATAATACTTTTTCTTATTTCATTTATTTTCATTTCAAAGATTATTTAACTTTTAATATGCATATAACCAACAAAATAGATATTTCTAAGACAATAATGCAATTCTTTTTTAAATAAAATATTAATTTAATACACATAATGTGAAATTACTCACCTTAACCTTTGAGAGACATTAAAATACTTATCTTTTCACTTTATTTTCTCTTACACAAACATATTTTGATCTCTCGCCCTTTCATTCACCTCTGTCAAATTAAAGTCACTAAAGTTAATTCATAAAATTATTGATATTAAATTAACGAAACCTTTAATTAAATTGATTTATACAATTAATACTTAAACCCTATAAATATCCAACTTAATCTTCTTTTAATGTCTTGATTCATCTCTTTCTCAAATCCTAAGAATTTATCAGCATTCAATTCCTGATTAAATTAACCTTCACATAAGCAATTATATTACCAATTATTTACTCAATAGAAATAAAACACAGACATTTACCTTCTCCAAATTGTACGAAATCAATAATTTAGCCTCCCAATTTTACGAAAAGTTCTACAATTAAAGTGTTTTGTTATAATCTAATAAACAAGCATTAGTCCTTAAAGATTTATTTAATTTAAAAAAATTGAAAATTAAAATTGACCCTAACCTAAAAAGTTTTAGTTGGTTGCCTTCACCTGCACGCCCACGAGCCGCCTCCCTTTCCATCTTCGTTCAACCTCGGCTCAACTCCAACATATTGTGCATGAGTTCGACTCCTCTTAACTACTTCCTCTTCCTCTTTGATTTCGCTTGGCTAGGGTTCGAAAATCCCTAGCACAAGAATTGTGGCTCAGTATCGCCTTCCTTGGCTGAACAACGTCGTTACATGAGAAGCAACAATGCTTCGACCCTTCTCTGGTTTTGACGAAGAGTGATTTTTAAAACAGCGCCTCTCCTTCCTCCTTCAATAGTTGCGTTGTGGCACCTAAAACAGCGCCTCTCCTTCCTCCTTCAATAGTTGCTCAGTCTGACTTCTCGCAAGTGCAGAAGAATAGGTTGTGAACCACTCTGCTACCTTCGCGCATGACGGTGGCACTAGACTTAAATCTGCTCCTTTCTCCTTCTTCTTCTTTCCTCGTCTCCTTTAATGTCGTTTCTTCCTTCCTCTCAGTCTCCCACTCTCGCTCTCTCTGCTATTCTGAATTTCTACAGGTTTAAAGAGGCTTTCGTCTCTTAAGCATTTAACTGTGGAGATATCAATTCAAACAGCCCTTTCATTTATCTATTTTCTATTATTATTTTAAAAATTTTCAGTTATTACACCTGTAAAGCTAATTTGTTTACAGTTTATTTTGTCTCTCAAAAACCAAGAAAGAAATAATACTTAAACTAAGAAAAATACCCCAAAATAATTCATAAAAAAATGGAATTCAAGCATGTATAGATGCTTTAAGCAATATTAATTCTCTAAAAAAACAACCAAGCAAGCACTCTTAAGCAAAACCACTTACATTGTTGTAAGGACTTCGACAAGCGACTATAGGGGAGGTCTCTGTAAGACCATAACCATTTTGCAGCTTCACACCAATAGCCTAAAAAGTACAAAACGAATCAGCTTGAGAAGATTCATGGAAATCCACGGAAGATATAAACATTTTAACCTCAAAAAATTTGTCAATATGCAATGGCAAACTCCCACCACCACTTATACCAGCCTGAAACAACAAATGCAAAGCACTGAAATTTATTCAATTAAGGAGCCGCAAAACATTACACTAGACGAACAGAATTTTCTCATCCCAACCCCCCAAAAAAATAAATAAAATAAAATACAAGCATTACTTTTGAGATTCCAATTGCTGAGTGAATTTTATTATAGACTAGCTTCATCCCCAGGATATGGAATGGCCACAAAATGGCAGCAACAACTCTTCCCCATAAATTGTAGAATAAAGCAACAGCAGGCGATTGTTGATTTTTTGTCATTGTTAGTACTTTGCCCTTCACCAATTCAAAAAAGCAATAAGAGATGATAAATTCAAATAAATTATTTTACTTCTGACAATGAATTAGAGAAACAAGAAAGCAATATTATTGAAAATTCTAAGCGGTGACATTTAAAGTACAAAGTTCTCTAAGAATATACATGCTGCTAAATATTTGATATTCAAATCAAATGCAAAAGCAACAAACCTCATAAATCCTCTTTGCATCCATGTATAGAAGACTGATCCTGATAAGTGACAGTGCAACAAACTTCCGAGCAGCAGAGCTTGAAGATAATTGATTTTTGATAGAACTGCAAAGAGAAATAGCGACCTCAATAGTCGATAAAGAAAAAGAAAGTAGCTTGAAGTTGACCATACAGAGGAGTTAGTTTGTCTCAAGTTGACTATGAATAAAGCATGCGGTTTTGTGTAAAAACAAAAAAGTGAGTTGGATATTAACATCTACATCAATCATTGAAAGGCCGTATAAAGATATACCAACTAAGTCATATCAATATGAATATCATTTTTCAGTACATGCACAGTTGATGGGTGGAAGCGGTGCTTGATTTCCACAACAAATATCAAAAAGAGTAAAATCTATCAGCCAACATGCACATATAAACATTATATATAATTCATACTTACTAATGTTAAAAAAATAATTAGAGATTATTAATGCTATTAATTAGGTTTAATTAAACTAAATATTAAAATTAAATTTGAGCTTCTTGGCATTCTAAATTATTTCCCATAAACCTACTCCCACTTATTAACAAGCAATAATTGTTCGCGTGAAATTCCATCTATTCTTGTGTGTTCGAACCACAAAACAGTCATCCCCCTCATTCACAGGTCTCGCTCCCATAACTCCCTCATTCCCCTATTCACAAGACCCCTCTATTCTTGTTGTTCTCTCGTTGTTCTGGTTACGCATCCTAGCCGTCTCCAACTCCTGTTCATCTTTCCCATTCTAGACACTCGCAGAAGCTCTCATTCTTTCGTCGTTCGCTTCGACCACACTAAAGCCACCAATCTCCTTTCTCGCACAATGACAACCCTACTTCCCAATTCAAGGCATACAATTGTGAATCGAGCTAGTTGAGAAGCCAACCACGAGATCGCGTGTTCAAAGACCTCTGAATTTCCCATCTTTCTCCTGCTCTAGCTGCAGCCAAAAGCCATACGATGCCTTCTCCACTGCTTTCTTCGAGCAGAACCTAAGGCACAGCCTCTAAACTTATTCTCTTCTTCCGCTACATCCTAACTCGAAGTTTTCTTACCCAAGCCAAAGTCTAAAATCAAGCACCACTTCCACTTCTCCGGCCGCAAAAGCTTGTGCTTCCATTTCTTCTCTTGTTTGCCTACTTCACCCACGACATAATCACGACTAGAGCCAGTCAAGAAATTTGCAGTGGGATTGCTTCATACAAATGTCGAAAGCCTTCGGTGTACCGTTCAAAAAAATTAAGTGCTCGTCTTGGGAAACTCAAATATTTGTCCATAGAAGTATCCTTCACGAAAAGTAAAGTACCTATTCGAAAAATATGTGCTTGTGTTTTGCTTATTGCAAGTAATTTGAAGGCCTACTGTGTCTTATAAATCATGGGTTAAAGTATTTTATTTTACTCCCCGACCGTATTATCTCAAGGCCCTGACCAACTCGTCTTATAGATAGTTAGACAGGTTGGAATTCTCCTTGATGCCTCACAACGCGGGTAGATACCAGAAGGATGCCAAAACTTCGTGTCAATTTCGACTTGCAATTAACTTGAGATTTTGGACTATTTAAACTTGTTAAAATGACTCAAAATTTTGAATCTTTTAAACTTACAAAAATATTTAAATTTGGGCTTTTCAAACTTAGACTCCCAGGGTTGAAAATATTTAATTTAAACTTGGGCTTTTTCAAGTTGAAGCTCTTGTAATTGAATCAATTGGGTTTTGTTAAATTTAATTCAAATACAGAATATTGTAGCTTGCAAAATGAATTAATATCAAATTGGAGCAAAGTTACATAAATGGCATTTTAAAATGCCAAAATAAAGGCTTAACAGTATACTTTCACCAATGAACAGAATGTGGTCTTTTGAAAACTCAACAAGAAATCTTATATCTATTACAAAAGCTCTAATATTCACATACACTTTTAAAAGGTTTGGGTGATGATAAGTCTTGAGCTAGAGTTTGATTTGGAGGTAAATATCATAAAATTCATACAAAAATATTTTAAGATTCTTGCTATCAATTGTACTTTCAAACTATGTGACATCGGAGTGCTTAACAACAATGATGCAGGCGTCTAGCACCCACGTGGATTTTCCTGCAACCCTGTGACTATGCGAACGGCATAAAACAGAGCCGAGCGGGCTTGTTTTTTATTCCTTTAAAATTTTAGCAAGTTTCATCTTTTCCTTTCATGACTTACTAGTCAATTCCTATATATGTGTTGTATTAAGGTTTAAAGGGGAGTTTTTCTTGTGTTTTTTGTCAGGACTGCCGTCTGTGTCCAAGTTTTCGCTACCAGGGTTGTATCTGACAGCGGGTGGTGCTCTTGTTGTATCTCTTCTGAAGTGTTGATTATCCTCGACTCTCCCCATCCTCTATAGCCTTATCTCTGTTGTCTTCGTCTTCGTCATCACTGTTGCAATCATCCCTCTCCCCAAAAATAGCAACCTTGTTGTCTCCCTACAGCGCAACCCTTCTTCATACCAGCACAACCATCCCTACCCTTCCACAACCTCCCTGCATCATTGTCAATCGTTGTTCCTCGTTGTCACCGTCCAGAAAGAGCAAACCTATTGTCTTCCTACTGTCCAGCCGCCTGGCATCACTGTCGCAGCCCCGCCAACCATCCTTACCGCACTCTGCCACTGCCGACCTATTGTTCAGCCCTATCGCTAGTTGTTTGATCAATCATCAACCCTTCTAACCGTTTTTTTCCGCTTAATATCGCTATCGACCTCCTATTCAGCCCACCCTTGTTGTTTTCAACCACCACCATATTTCCAGCCACCTCAACTTGCTACCAATCATCCACCCGATTCCAACCACCTCCCACTACATCTGAACCACCTAATCAAATTCCACTACCCACAAATCAAACCCTAGAATGAGTCTATCTTGCGTTGTTATTTCCCATTTTAATGTGTGTTTGGTTGCAATTACCTATTTGACTTTTCCAATAAGAATATTTAATTTTCTACTGTTGTTTTGGGTAACTCTGATATCATTTGATATCATAGTTAGCCTAACCCTAGTCATATCAAACGATTTCTATCAGCCACCAATACCCAACCCTAAAATCTACCCAAAACTCTTCTCTTTGTTGATTTTCCAAACCGGTCATTCAAAACAATTTTTCCCAACCTACACAACCCATATACACCTTCTCCCAACAACTCAAACCCAAAACCTAGTCATTTCACTGAGGATACATCAGTCGAAAGCCTGATCAAGGGGAAAGAAATGATACGTTTATGAGAAATCCACAAAAAAGATGTCCAATAGATTTTTAGAGAGAATATGCAGTGGGAAACCCTCCAAATGCAATAGAGGCTCACCCCCTTCGAGAGGAGACCATCCAGAGCGATCACACAAATTCTATTCGATCTCCTAAATTAAGAACCACAACCACGAAGATTTGGCATGAAATATTATAGAAGCTAATATTTGGAAGTAAAGGTTAATTTGTCATATTTTGACAGTAACATAGCTGCAAACGAGTTCATCGGGTGGCTTTGGACATTAGAATGTGTCTTTGAGTACCAAGACATCCCACTGAACGCAATGACAAAACTAACCACCAACAAGTTAAGGAATTGTGCATCTGTTTGGTAGAACTTGAAGATTTTTTGAAAACAAGACGGAAAAAATAAAATTACTACCTGGTTCAAGATAAAATTAGAGTTGTAGTGCTAGTACCTACTAATTCATTAAGACAGAAAGTTCAAAAACTAGCTTTAAAAGCGGAGGCAACATCACCAAAGGACTGCCTCAATTTACAGCCAGAAACTAATTTCAAGCGGGGAAAAGGTAGAACCAATCCGCATTCTCAAATCCATCCCAGGCAAAAAGTGCTTTAAATGCCACAAATTTAGGTATATTAAATCAAACTACACAACTACGAGAATAATATCTTTCACTGATCAGGAGCAGTTAAAGAAATAAATATTGATCAAGGAGAAGAAGATGATTTCCAAAACGATTCTCAACTTCCAATAGAAGAGGAAGAGACTTCCAACTGAGCCCTAGGGAGAGACTCCAACTGAATTAACCTTAGTTGTGCTAGAAAGCAGTGAGTATGAGATAATGGGCTTTCATGCAAAGTATGGAATAACAACCATTTTGCAGTCGTTGAGAAGCGCAACCGCAGGATTGACATTGAAAGTCCAAAAAGACCATGAGTTTGAGGAGTCCATACTAGACATAGGGCAATCCAAGATAAAAGAATTTCAGATCGTTCAAATATATAATCTACTTCCCGAGTAGCCCTTATTGAGGGAGGTACATGTCAAAAATGAGAAACTTATGAGCTAATTCTACAAGGCTAAATAGGATCATTCGAATATTAACTTCAGTTCAATAGTATACCCATAGACACAGGAGAGATGAATTGTAGCTCTAGGAATTGAGTTAGGAGCTTGGTGGGAAAGAAAATTCTGCAATGGGATCTTAGTCTATTCAGAGAAGAAGAGACCACTCATGAGCTGTTATACTTCAGTGTGGTCTAGTCTGTCATAGATTTCGTTTCAGAGTTCATTCCTCCTTGCAGGCTTTGTTATCAGATACATTGAGTCAACTATGAAAGTGAGAGAAACAAGTCACGGATTTAATGAATCGAGAGTTACTTCAATAGAATATATATCTATACACAGCTTCAGCTCAGATTGTGTCAAAATATAATAGATACTAATTTTATTAGAATGTGTATTGGAAGAAAATCTAAAAGATTCACTTACCGAAAAGTTACAGCAGCTCCACCTCCTTCAACATGGCTAATCTCACACTGCAATGCAAGTAGCTCGAAGCTTTGACATATGAGCTTGAAACTCTCCCAAACCCGGTTGACCAACGTGGAAGCATTTCTCACACTGAAGCGGGAGTCCAGTGCTCCTGCGGGGTTTCCCGCGACACTAAGACCGTGCGCACGATCAGCTAACATGAATGGCACAAAGCCAAATCGAGCAACTGTTTTTTTTTTATTGCTTTCAAATTTTAACTGTTTCCTCCTTTCCTTTCATTCTTTTCTAGTCCTTTCATATACTTGTGTTGTATTAGAGTTTAGAGAGTTTTGATTTTGTTGCTATCAGGACGGTGTCTTCAGCGTTCAGGTATTCCCTTCTAAGGCTAAATTCGACCGCGAGTGGTGCTCATGTTATATCTCGTCTGAGGTGGTGATTATCCTCGACTCTCCTCAACCTCTGCAATCTTAACTCCACTGTCACCGTCGTCGTTGTCACCGCTGCAACCATCCTCTCCATAAAGGTTCTTTACTTGTAGCTCTACCCTTTTTCTTACCTAGCATAGACACCTCTACCCTTTCACAATCTCCTTATATCGCTGCCAAACGTCGTTCCTAGCTGTCGCCACCAAGAAAACAAACTATTTGTTTACTGCTGTGCAACCGTCCGAGATCGTTATTGCAACCCCGCCATTCGTCTGTACCTCTCTTTACCACTGCCGACCTGCTATCCAGCCCTCCCCTGGTTGTTTTCAGCAGTCCAGAGCCCTTCCAAAAATCATTACCACCCTCTGTCGCTACTGACCTGCTATCCAACCCCCCTTGCTTTTTTCGGTCACCACCACCTTTCTAGCCACCCCTTCTCGCTGCCTTTCTTCATCCACCCCATTCTAGCCACCTCCTACAACATTCGTACCACCTAACCAACCTCAACCAACCACGGATCAAACCCTAATATAAGTCATTGTTGTGTTATTCTTTTCCATTTCAATGTGTGCTTGGTTATAACCATTTATTTGATTTTTTAATTAATAATATTTGTTTTTCTATTATTGTTTAGGCTAACTCTGGTATTACTTTAAGCTATTTTTCAACTTCAATGTATAATCTCAAAAGACTTTTAATTACTTGATAATTTGTATTTGTATAATATAGATGTGTCAAATATTAAATTATATGTTGCAAGAACACAGATTACGCAATCACATCTTATAAGTGTGTCAAAATTGATGTAATTACAACAAGCAAAGGCATCAAGATGCATGTACATTAACAAAGTAAACTCGCATGTCTACACCAAATTAAATATGTATTTAAATTTAAACAACTTCAGAATGTTGCGTGCGTTAAAGAATAAATGAAAAATTCTCTTGAAAAATCTATGATTATTCTAATTTGAAGAATCCTCATGTTTTAAAAATCAAATCCAAGTTAGTTGAGCTATACACGCTCTCAATTGGGTCGACTTGTCTATAAGGTAAGGTTGCAATTCCCACCCAATTAGTCTAATCATCCTCCTCGTAAGGAAGGGAGTCGAGGAGTGTAGTAATTTCAATAATATCAAAATAAAATTACATGTCTAAATCACCTAATATGATCATCCTCCTTGTTATGACTGAAGTTGATAGGACAAATATGCTAAGTTATTAGACTAATGAATTTCAGATGAACTTCAAACATAAAGGCTTCAAATATCCAATTCTTCGATGAAAAACAAGTTGATACAAGATTTCAATCGGATGAGTCAATTTTTAAATCAAGTTTTTCAAAGTACAAAAAATATTCAAGTTAAAAAAATAATAACCTAAAAGACCTAAAGCAAATCTCACTTAACCTCCACAATAGTTTATCAGTAGTGATAAACTTTTGATTGATTTCAACTCACAAAGAGCAATGTCAAATCATTATATTCACACTCAAAATAATTTCACGAAAGCAAGAACGTGGCCCAAGTCCTTTATCCACACGACTTGCCCAAAGACTCCACAAAAATTAACGGTTATGACCAGAACCCTCTGACTGAGTGGTTGTCATCAAATGAAACGATTATATTACTGTCGAAGCTGCAGTCCGTATATTCCCTAACAACTTTTTATCCTTTAGATTGAAAAATAATGGCATAATTGATTGGCATAAATCCTTATGTTAACTAATATAGGCTAAAATTTGTCGCCTTAGGCTAAAATCAACCTCAAATCTACAATAATCTTTTGGATGACATAACTCATGGCTGTTGACAAGAATTTTTTCGTAAGGTGGGTTCGACTGCCCCCTCTAACTAAATAGATCAGAAACCACGATGACCCGAGATGACAGAATTATGATATCTTGATTAGGTTCGCTATCAAGCCCCTCATTATTCGCTTTCAACTCAAGGTATAAAATTTTATAATCTAATATTTTATATTTGTTGCTACTATATATTGAATATTCAATGCTAAATGACTAAACTTAATCAAAAGTGTTTTCTATTATCAGGAGGGGTAATCAATGATAAGGGTTTGTACCTATGGAAAACCTCGAATCTCGACGATCAAATCTACCTTCTGAAAATTTCATCCAAAATACTAAGATATCAAACACAAAAGCTTCCATAATATAATTCACTGTTTCATATCATACAATATATTTTATGATAAACTGTATATACAATAATAAATTTGAACATGCTTAAAGATTTGAATGCCAATACAGCTTATAAAATAGATCAATCATAAAAAAACATACAATGTGCAATCTAGCAATAATAGTATTGTCTGGCGCATTTGATTTATAGAGAGACATAATATTATTAACATAATTTAGAAATAAGGATACTCACCTAAATTCTTAATGTACCAATCCTATTCCTCGATTTTGTCATCAATCTTCACCCTACAAATTAAAGATTCCTATGAGATACTTAAATTGAAAGATAAGACACATACACAGTATAATTATTTGAAATATTTCTTTTCATCAAGTATAATTTCTATTTATCTACCTTACTTTAAGTTTGCTTTTCTTTTTTTTTTCACCCACAGAACATTAATTACACGGACCCCGCATATACAAAACCTTAAACCAAAGGCCACTTATTTGAAAGATAAAGCTCTCAACCACTTGGCCAAGTTGGCTTGCATAACTTACTTTAAGTTATTATTTAAACCCCACAAAACCTACTTTAATTTTTCTTTCTTTTTATCTCGACTAATATTTATACTTACTATTTAAAAATTAGTAATATTATAAATAATTAATATTTATTTAATTGTTGGGAATCCAATAACACACACACACACAGATAATCATAATATGCACGCACAAACACTCATATATATAGATATGGATGTATAAATGCTCATAACGGCGAAATTAAAACCTTTCAACTTTTATTTTCTATCACTACAACTAATCATTCAAAAAATAAATGAAGAAGTCACCACATGAAATAAATTTAGATTAAACTTATTAAATTTATCTTATTTGCCCATATGTTTTATAAATATTTCGCTCTATTCTTCATTTTTGCCTAAAAATATTAAAACAATGTAATTAATTATCTAAAAAAACTCAGTGGAGTGATTGCACTTTTAAATTACAGTAATTTAATAAAAAAAGGCAATATATATGCTGGTCTTGCCTTTTATGTTATAAAATTTATATAATAATATTAAAGGCATACTCTCATATAAAAAAACTAAAATTTCTATATTCATTAAACTTTGTTTTCTTTTTAAAAGTTTAATCTTTAAATTTTTAATACATTTCTTACTCTCAATATGTACATCCAATTCAGAAGCATAGTCTCAACATAACCCAATGTACCCCTCGCCAATAAATACCCCGCCTGCATAGTGCAGATTAGGTCTGCTATAGTCTGAGGTGGAAAGGTATCTACTCATCCCTGACTGATATATTCTCATCGATACAAGAATTCATGCTTTAAATTTCATTATTGTCTTAGATGGTAGCAAAATATTTATTTGTGCATGTACATTTTCATCTCTAGCCAATACTACAAGGGAGTGAGCTCCTCTTATTAGCACATAGAAGTATTCATATTTTTTTTAATTCTTAATAACATAAATTATTGTCTTATGAAATACTTTATATTTACCTCGTAGTGCATAAATGTCATTCTAACATAATCTAAATGTCATGTAATAAGCGATTGTCATTCTATAAAAATAAAACTATTATGTCACTATTATACATAAATGTTTCAATGAATATTTCATAACTAACAATATGAAAAATCAATTGTAGCCTACTTTTGTTGATATAGAACATAAAAGTGAAAAAAAAATTGAAGTAAGAAATATTAAATAATCAACAGGTGATATTTTTGAGAATCTAACAAGTAAAATAAATTAAGTTAAAAGTAAATTCAATACATATGGTTAATATGAATAATGCTAACCTGTAGAGAATCTCATAAACCAGGGGAACTGAAATTAGATACTGTGGCGAATACTGCTTCAGATCATCCTGTCACAGTAAGTTCTAGTTATGATAAACTCTCAGAAAGTGATCACAATGTCTCTCTCACACATCTTGTTCATCGAGAAAGATTCAGTAGAACATCAAAAACCATAATGCATTTTTCCAGTTATTAAATCATCTGGATATTTTTATAATATCAAAAACAAAGAGATAATTTCAATCTTTGTTTTTTAATAATTAAAAGACATTTGATGATCAGGCAGAATACAAAAAAGCAAGATGAAGTTTTCAAATAAAGTACCTTCAATTTTTTCACATTTGTGTAAACCTGCTCAATCCCATAAGTAAATGTCACGTACTCAACAACACGCTCGTAAGCATGCCATGATGGAAGCATGCTTAAAAACCTATCTCCAGGTACAGTAGGTACAATCACCCCAAAGTTCATTATCTAAAAAAAAATTAAATTAATAAAAATAAGAAACATTGTTTAAACAACCAATTAAATAATGTGCTAGAATACCAAGTTAAATAAGATTTTATAAGACCATGTGTACCTCCATATTCAACTTTGAGGGCATTTCTCCATCATTGGTCAAAAGGGTGATCAAGTTTTGGTACTAAAACAATTTCTTGGACGAGCCTACTAGAGCTTGCTATCATAATGTGGGTGTTGCATGCCATATTAAACTTGTTGTTAATCGATTTATCCCTCCTAATAAGGAGCATTTTCACAAACAACCATCTGCTGATGGGGGTAGATCGAAGTGAGTTGATTTTACTAGAAGTTTTTAAAGATATTTTTGGTCACTATCGTTAGGTTAATTCAATGATTGGATTACCAATGCATTCTTAAGCTGTCATTCTACTGAATATTTGAATTTGCAGCTTTCTATGAGAGGACAATCTAAACCAACATGTTAAGTACCTTATTAGCATACAAACTGGGTGACTACGCTATCGTTTTGATAGATTAGTACTTTTGGAAGGGCACAAGCTAAATAGGGCCAGCAACAATTTAGATTTTCCAAGAAAAATATGAATGACAAATTGCGCTACATTCCTGACAGGAAATATGCCAGTCAGATGAAATATCTCTAGAAAACAGGATGTCTAACGCTACTATGTTGTGAATCCACCCACTCAGACTTAGCATTAGGTAGAGGTTTCGTCCAGCTCCATCAAATAGCCACACAAGAGTTAGCTATACACTGTTAACTTGAGTGCAGCTATTTTTTGCAATCTTATGAAGTCTGGTGCTTGAAAATATGAGCACTAACTGTGGTTACTAAGAACTTGCAATAACTGTGTTTAAAAATAAATAAATAACTTTCTTGTGCATGAAGAGATGAACGCCTCATTCGAATCAAACCCAGTGAATAAGAACGACAGAGACAACAAAAAGCGAGGAGCAAGAGGAGCGAGGGTTTCGAACAGAAGGGAATGAGGCTTACGTGTGTCTAGGGCAAGTGTACAGATTCGAGTGGCATCAAAGAAGAAGGAAGGAGCCACATCTGCGTTTCAAATGAGAGAAATGTATATTGACTGCGCCTTGTGAGAAGGAAGACGTCGTCGTGTGTTGGTTTTGTGCGGGAGACATTATCGAGCAGGAGAGGTTAACGAAACTTTAGGACAGTCACGATCGGCCTGCACGTTCATGTTTGAGGTGGCACTGTCGACCTACGAGTTTTGTGCAAAGGGGGCAGGTGGATCTGAGCCGAGCGTAGCTTTAATAAAAAATAAAAATAAAAATAAAAAAAAAATCCGGCTAACACATGGGAATATTCTACCGTATTATTATTGTGTTATGAGAATATTCTAGATATTATAATAATATAATAATACATTAATAATAATTGAATAACACACAATAACATCTTAATAACACACAATAACATTGAATAACACGAGAGAAATATTCTCTTGTGTTACCGGACAGATTTTATTTTTTTTCTGTCATGTGTCGTCATTAGACTCCGCACATAACTCTATGTGCGGAGTCCTGATACAATATTTTGTCCTTCGTGTGACAGCGGAAGAGCCGAAGACAGAGCCAATGATCTGTCCCGCCACGCTTGCGATATGAGTTAGGAACTGAACGAATCAAAAAAGATTCGAGGGTTTTAGCATATTAATTGTGAATTTAATATATATGTTTAATTATTAAAATATTAATATTAGGTTTAATTAAATAAGAATTTTAAAAATATAATCGGGAGAGGTGATCAAGGAAGGGGCAATCAAATAAATTTAATTGTGGTAAGTTCCATTTACATGTCTTTTAATTTAGAAGATATGTTAATATCTAAAATATAATGTGTAATGGAAAATTACTTAAAAAATTTGAATAAGAGAAATAATGAAGTTGACAAAATGTTATATTTTGCATTTTTAGACACTAAATAGAGGACAACAATAATTAAGTGGCTACATTAATAATCAAAAGGCTGAGGTGAATAATTATGTTTTTTAAGTTATTGTAAATATATTCTTGCTTACAAATTGCACTATTATAAGTTGTATCAACGAAAAAATCATATATAATTATTCATATCATTAGTCATGAGGAATGCATGTTAAACATTGTTGTCTTAATAGTTGCATAATGTTTTATTTTAGAAAAATATCAGATTATTATATGATCTTAATGTTCTAGTAGAGATGTATAAATTCGCTTATTGCATTGACCAGATATACATGTCACATTAGTACTTGATCTTTAAATATAGATATATCAGTTTATATTATGACTTATATTTTTTGTAAGATTGCATTTATTCATCAGCAGATAGAGGTAAAGTGTTTCATAAAAAAAATAAATGATATCAAAAAAAATGAAGTGCATATATAAATATTGTATGAGCATCGAAAGAAAAGTTCACCCCCTTATGGTATAGACAAGAGACGCTAGTGTACGCGCACGGGTAGATGTCATCCTATCACCATGAACAATTGTGATATTTAGATCACTAATTGTTCTGCCGATAAGATAATATCGGTCAAGGGCAAGCATGCATATTTCCAACTCAAACAATTGTATAATTTAAATTACGGAATGATGTGTCAATGAGATAATATCCGCTAGAGGTGTATTAAGTTTTGTTTTAACGTTGATTCTAAGACAGATGTGAATATTAATAGCATGGAGTAAGAGTAAAGTTAATCATTAAACATTAAAGAGTACAGTTAAAGCTAATGAATATCGAATTTTAAGTTATTTTCATTGAATAATTATCATGGACACATATATTAGATTATTGCAACATCTTCTATAGTGAGTTATGAACCTGCATCCATATTATTTTCTTTTCCTTGGCTTATTGTATTTTAGAAGTGTGATTACTCATAGGTCATTTTTTGATAACTCATCATTGTGTTTTACTATTTTTAAGATTTAACAAGTTGCATAAAATGAATTCTAAAGAAGAAAATGTGTACAGAAGGCAAGATTTATTGACATGAAATAATCTTCTCCTATGCAAATCAATAGTTCTCACAATGGAACCCAATAAGAAATTAGTTCATGTTAGCAGCTCCTGTGAACACGATTTACTACCAATGACATGTAGGAAAACACATTTACCTCGCCCATACTCGCCCTGATATTTACTATGTAGTACGTACTGTGAGCCAATTCTTGCATTATCCCTATGAGCATTGTTGGTGTCAACTTGTGATGTCACAAAAGTTCGGACGCTCTTTTGAATGTTTTAGGAGCGTGTAATGTGCATACGTAACATCTCGTAGCTCGAGGACTACACGAAACCCTCCTGTTATAAAGTTGAAAAGATCAGGTTTCAGGACACCACGCGAGGTAATAATTGGGGGCGCTCATCAACATCGAAGTTCTGGATGTAATGCATATGAAAAACCTTATTTTTAAGTTATGGGACTATATTTCAATCATATTTAATCCTCATAGCTTATGGATCGCCAAAATTCTTCAACGGAAGATTTCAGCAAAAAGAAGGGGCTCGATAATCTCAAGCCCCTAGGCACCTGAAACAGCCCCAAATAGCTCAAAACCAAGAGCCTGGAAAGTAAGCGCCCAGCCCCGGGCGCCAATTCCCCGACGCCTAAGTGTCAATTCTGACGTCTAGGCTACCAGATCTGCTCCAAAATGTTGATATCGACCTGAGAGCTTAAAATGTAAACACCTGAGGAGGGGGTGGGCAGTGTCTTAAACCCAAGACATCCGGCGCTTGCGCAGAAAGTAGCCGCCCCATCCGGCGCTTAGGCGCCTGACTAGTTTCTACTCCCGATTTTTCTCGGGATTTCCACTCGGAACTCCCCCCAAGGCAGCTAAAAATCGAAAACTCCTTGGCTTAAGTGAGGATATGCATGGGGGTTTGGTTACTTCTTCCTTTTGGCTTCTCCTAGGGATCTGGTTTGGTTTTTGGGGGAGAGCCTTTTCTTCTCCTGTCTTCTTGAGAGTCGGAGTCATCTTCTTCCTTGAAGAAGATTTCTTAGAGGCTAGTCTTTCCTGGGTTGGAGAGTTCTTGAGCAAGAAAAGTAGGGAGCTTCTAAAACCACTTCACCCTCGTCTTTTTCTTCTTTCTCCACCATTCTTTGAGTGTGTGAGGGAGTTTCCTTGGAGAAGTTGCGTTGTGGAAGAGAGGAGAGCTTCATCTTTCCTAAGTATGAGAGTGTCAACTCTCCTAAGGGGGAAGAAGAGCTTTTTCCTAGTAACGTCGGAGCGTGGACAACTAAAGAGGATGCTTTGAGCAACCACCGCGTAAAAGCTCTTGCTCTTTCTTTCTTAAAGCCCCTAGGTGTGGATGTTAGAGGCATTAGGTTAAGGATCTTGTGCTAAAGAAAAGCCATATAGAATTAGGTGCTTCGCGTTCCCGCTACAAATCTAAAGAGCAAAACCTACCCACTTTGAGCAAAACCCACCCACTTTGATGAAAACCTACAAATCCAAACAGTCATCTGTATGGGATCGTGAGAGACTCACTCTCTGCCCGTTGAAAGCATCAAGATGCTTTTGTGAAACAATCATCTTTTGTGACACCCTTTACTAGTTGTCACTTAAATGTAAACATGATTCCTTTAATCGAGAGTATTCTTAGGCACCGCCTAAAATGTAATTAACCAAAGGCAAATACAAATTTGGTTTTATTATTACTTAAATAGCTTACAAAAATATTCTTTCATGGATATTTGGTTCAAAGTGTTTTGATTTGATCCTGTTTGGATGTACACCCTTGACATATCGCACGAGTTTACTTCACAAAAGCTCTCCAGGTTCTTTCTAAATTTGTCTGCCTAGTCTACGTCTTAATTCCTTCTTTCCTAATCCCTCAGAATCGTTCTGATGATTCAAGTAAGAGGACTCCTTAGAAAATAGAATCTTAAGACGATAATTAGATAGGTCGATGACTTTGCTTTTATAAAAAGAGCTGAAACAGATTAGCAACTATGCTGGAGAAGAGTCTCTCTCCATTTTAG